CAATGCGCCTTTTAACTTGATAATGAACGATAGAAACATTCGAAACGTCGTTAACGAAATAAAAATGTCCATCGGTAACCTGATTTTCGATTTGCCAGTTCAAACTAAAAATATTGTTCGATATATTGAAAAAACTAATAAGAAAATTGCGAATAAAACAAATTCTCTGGTCTTCAATGAAACCTGCTTGATACACTAATGTGTACAAACTTTTTGCAGTTGTTAATTAATTTCATGAATCTTAGTACAAACTCATTTATATTTTAGTGAGTAATTCGATAACAATGAGTAACTTTTGCTACATAAATAATGAATTGGAAAATCAATATGTATGTTTATGGAAAAATCACATAATTATTATTGAAATTACATGGAATTATTATTGTAATTACAATTACACATTACTCACGACTTCTTCCGGTATTGTTTCCAAAGAGCACGGGTTGAAAGTACTAGGCAGCATCTTCGCTTTCTGCAACTCTTTTAATATGTGTTCTGCGTAAGCATCTTTCGTCAGCCTGTGAAAATTAAATAAGTCTTTGTGTATATCATTAAAATAGATCAAGTTTAGTAAACAGTTGTTTTTCTTAATCTTAAAAGAAATATATTTTTGAATAATATACTTTATTTGTAAGAGGTTAGAAAATATATTTTCCACTGAATTTTTTCTTCATACGTGGTGCAACCCCGAAAAAAATAGGAGTTAAACGTAAATGTTTGTAACAATGCTTTGTGTGCTAACACAATCGTATAAAGTTGCGAAACTTTTACTTTTGGAGCTACATTATTGATATACATGTACCATTTATCTGTAATAAATTGTAATGATATCTTGTTATCTATATTTGGAATAAATTATCTATAATGCATAATATCCATGTTTTAATGTATTCATGCATTTAATACACTATAATATGTACATTTCACAAAACAAAACGGCACTCTTTACTCATCAGTAAAACAGAGCTTGGCAGTTTCCGTACATGATGCATGTTCGGCAGCCAAAAAAATTAAAAATTTTGTCTTAGTTGCCATAAATTTTTTTCCTTTGTTTCGTCATCCTGACTCAGTTTGGCGCGATAAAAGGGCGTATTGGTGGTACGTTAAATCGTTTGTCACTACTTGTACTATTTTACCCTTTCATTTTCTGAGTATATCGTTATTTATAGTTCTGAGTATATCGTCATTTATCATCTTCACCCCCTTTCTTGAGGGTATAGATGATATTCGTGATTCAATATGTAATGGATCTATATGATATACGACGATCGTTACTCACAGATGTAAATTATTTAGTCGCGTGTCTGGATCGCGGTTGTAGATCATGTTCGAGAATATGAAGGCCTGGCCGAACCCTGAGACGTGGGCCCCAAACGAACCAGAGTGGAAACTACGGGACACTTCCGGCACCAAGGCGTGTCGCCCCCGACGTCGGCGTTCAGTGTGCAGCCACCAGTCCCAGTCGATCATGGTCTCCTGAAATGTGTACGTCCTAATTTTCTCACGGCATCTCAATTGCCATTACGCCTTAATATATATTACGCCTGAATTTCTGCTATATGAACAATCACTACGCCAGAATTTTCATTCTTACTACTAAATCAGCCCGAGCTAGTGTACTGAGCCAAAAAGTATGCGTAATAGAAAGAAAAAATGTAATTTCAACCTTTGTGGTGACTGCGTTCTTGAAAATGGGAACTCGGTAAATGTCTAGAATTAATTCTCTTTCCTGCCCAAAGTGTGAACTAATGCACTATATTAATCTACTAAGTAACGAAGCATAATGATATCGAAAGCCACGATAGACAACCCAATTATCTGAAAGTAGATCGATGTTAAAGTTACAGCATGATCATATTTTTCTCATGATCATATTTTTCGTTTCTATGCGTAGGCGGTGGATACTTAAAGAATGGTGGTGGATGATCAGAGAATGTTAGACATACTTTTCTTGCCAGCATCTCTGTCCGGTTATCAAGATCAAAAGAGGGATGCAGGATTCAAAAGTTTTTGACATAAGTCCCAATATTTGTTAGATTATAGATTCATTATTAATCAGACTGTGGGGAGCCGTACTCACCGAATTATCGACCCATAAGGGTAGAACGTCTTGAGCGTACTCTCTTGTGACCATCCAGCCGAACTGGGGCAGCATTTCGGAGCGCCTAACACGTGTGGCGTCAGCGGCGACCGTGGGGCAGCTGTTGGCGGAGAAGCTGTTCACGACGTAGAGTGTGGCGTCAGCGTCCAGCAGCCACGCCGTCTGGTGGAAGTAGCTGTAAAGGAAAGTAAAGCAACGTAGAGTGTGGCGTCAGCGTCCAGCAGCCACGCCGTCTGATGGAAGTAGCTGTAGAGGAAAATAAATTAACGTAGAGTGTGGCGTCAGCGTCCAGCAGCCTAGTGGAAGTAGCTTATGGGAAGAAAAAGATGACTGCATTAGATTCTAAGAAGACCAGTCTTGGCCATCATATCCATCATCTGAATCTGCTGCCCAGATGGTACAGACAAATACAGATGAGTCAGCATCTGGAAGACACCACGTGATAGGTCACGCAATCAAGATCTTAGTTGTGGGCGGAAGCCGAAGTCTATACAAGGGCTGGGAAGCTTGGTAAGGCCCCCACAGTAGTTGATAAGCGTTCCGCGATGTAACGCGTCGGTTGAGTTTTCCAAACTTACGGTCGACGCCGTAGCTTATACTCGTACCTCTGTATCTTAACTCTCATGTATAACCACTCCTTATATTAATGTATGTTATCTAGACAAATGTGTCTTACTTATCCTTCACTGCCTTAGTCACATAACTCGATCCTCAGGATCGGAATAAATAAGAGCTGACAGTAGAGTGTGGCGTTAGCTTCCAACAGCAAGCCGTCTGGTGGAAGTAGCTGTAAATGAAAAGAAAGTAACGTAGAGTGTGGCGTCAGCGTTCAGCAGCCTAGTTGAAGTAGCTTATGGGAAGAAAAAGATGGCTAGATTAGATTCTATGAAGACCAGTCTTGGCCAAGTCTCCATCATCTGAATCAGCAGCCCAGATGGACAGACCTTGATACTGGCAAAATACGGATGGTCGTGACGAAATATTCAAACCATGCGATAGCTGATCATGTGGTTCTCTGCAACGAGTATAGCAAAATCCGGTTTAAAGCCAGCATTGAGAATATTGAGTTGGATTGACGTTTCGTACTGAGTCTAAATTAAGACATTAATGGTTTATGGTTTGAATAAACTTACCTGATGAAGTCAGGCGATACGATGAGGTCGTCCTCCAAGATGATGACTTTAGAGGCGTTGCGGAAGGTCGAGAAGGCCGTGAACAAAGAAAATCTGAAGTGCGCGTTGAGGGGCGTGCTGGTGCCGGCGTCTCCCTCGTGGCGGTGCTCGATTACCGGCAGACTGGGCAGCAAATGAGTTTTAATTACAACCTGCAACAGCTAGAAAAATCTCATGAGATTTGGCGCGTGGGTCGATAGATAACTGAACTATGGGCAAATATTCAAATTCACTGGAGAATTTGAGCCAAATTCACCTTCAAAATTCCTGTGGAGGCAACGCTTCCTCGGACATTTTATCAGCTTTATCATATCAATGCCAATTTATTAAAATTGGTAAAAAGTCAAGAGTGACTGACTCAAAGATGGCGGCCAGCTGCGAAGTTTCCTCCTGATGACCATCGGTGAGAACCAAAATGTCGGTTTGCGCCGCACCCTTGGCAAGCAGCAGACTTATCAGCTGCCTGGAGGATACATTAGTAACCTTATCAGATATGGCATATCATTATTTATCCCTAGTAATCATAACCATCATCAGTGAGAGACACATTGTCTCTTATTATACAACACTTGCCGGTAGAAGAAGTGGCACTTGGTGGCGGTGAGCATGGCGACGGGGATGGCCTCCGACATGGGGATGTGGTCCTGTGAGTTTTTTTAAATCTAAAATTAGCTGGTGCAAATTTTTATCCATAAATATGAATCATGAAGTATTTAATTCTATGCTGAATTCCTATTCACACTTTAATACAGCTTGAATCCGATGGGCTTTCGAATATTTATCGATATACATCATTTTCTTCGGGCATTCTGTGAAAATCACCGAGGACCGTCGCAGCCGCTGGGGGTCCAAAGGGTCCTTGCAGCGGCACAAAGTCCCGTACCCTTCGTGGCGGCGACAAAACTGCGCCTGCTTCTGTCGCCGGGGGTCCCGGTGCCAGTCGCATTCTGTTCCTATACGAGTGATAGTAGGTGTTGAGTTTTGCGGCTAATATCGATATCAGCATAACGCGAATATGGACTGCAGTTGATGTTCATGACATCAACAAATATAAATGTGAATTGCAATTAATACATAAAACCCTTTCCTAAACTCAAAAACGGGTTTACAGTGGTTTTGCTTTCACAGAGCTTCACCTCGATTTCTAGGGAGGAGAAGTGATAGATCCAGGTTGGACTGTTGGTCTTTATTCCCTTTCAAGACGATGGCAGTTTCGAGGTAGGCTCGTGCCACGAACTTCTCCTGCACAAAGTTGTGACGCTGAGTAAAACTTCATAGAGTAGAGCAGGGAGAAATAAAACTTCTCCGTGTTTCACTATTGCGAAGTAAGTTAGATTTATTTTCAAGGTTATTTGGCGCTTCTTTTAATCTTAATTTTAGTTTGCATCAACAAGCGCGTATTCAGAAGAAAATACCCCTGCATTTTGCGGCGGCCAGTTGTCGGGAACAACACTGATCAGGATAGACGGATCATCTGTTCCAACGTAACCATTGTACACCAAGAGTCGGCCATTCTCGTCGTGCAGCTCTTCCCTCACTTCCTCCCCTTCAGGTGTGAGCAAGAGAACTTTATAGGGCATCTTCAACCCCTTCGTCCTTTCCGCTTCTATTCGTTGTCTTAATTGCGTGTCGTCGATGAGGTATGGAGACGAGCCTATCCCCTGCGCCACGTCAGCGCCTAGATGAATAGGTAGGAGATGAGGTATGGAGACGAGCCTATCCCCTGCATCTACTAGCAAAGCAGGTTAGAAAGCCTACTTGAATGATCACTATGACAGCAGCACAAGCAGGTTCACCTAACTTGAGGGCTCCTCCCACGGTGTCGCCCCTCATCCCCAGGTGGTGCAGCAGCATGCGCTCTGTGCTTCTCAGGAAGTCCCCGGCACCGAACTGAGCAAATAAAATTAATTTCAGGCAACAATAGTTCCTATATTGCTACTTATGTAAAATGAAATACGATGATCCAAACGAGAACAAAGGCAGGAATTATATGATTTGATAATGAATTTATGGCTCCTTATAAATGAAAGTCATCACCTTAAAGGAAAAAATTGATTGAAATTTGCAGATTCGACAAGGCTGGCCCAGGAGTTCAGCGTACCGACTAACTTGATTACCATAATGACTAATACAACAAAATAAACATAAGCATAAACATATCGACGTCTGTAGCAAATGATACCTGGTAGTTGATTAATCGCTAGCTAACAGACCGCACAACCGTAATTAAGAGACGCACAGAGGTCCTAACCTTAAAACTGGTGCTAAGGTTCAAGCCTCGAAACTGCGGCTTCCAAAAGTGGAACTAGAGCCTCAAGGTATGAAGGAAAAGGAAGGAAAAATGACGCCCAAAAGTCAAACCTTATAACGGCCCATTCATCATCAAGTCCTCGTCGCATTCCAGTATACGATATGAATTAGGGAATCGGAGCGGTCGTTGAGCCACAAATTCGAGTGTCGTGCCTTCAAATGCCCCTTAGAATCATACGTCGAGGCATTTCTACACTTTTTTTGGGCATGGCACCAAGCACCAGGTTGATCAGGGTTTGGCCCGGCAGTTCAGTCACTGCGGGCTGACCAACAAACTCACCATCATGACCAAGATGACCAGAGCCCCGGGCTACAGGTTGGTCAGGGTTTGGCCAAGCAGTTCAGTCACTGCGGGCTCACAACTAATGCTTTATTCGTTACGATGACTCACCATCATGACTCTAGATGGCTCTAGATGACTCACCATCATGACCGAGACGACCAGAGCCCCGGGCTGCAGGTTGGTCAGGGTTTGGCCAAGCATTTCAGTCTCTGCGGGCTGACCAACACACTCACCATCATGACCAAGACGACCAGAGCCCCGGGCTGCAGGTTGGTCAGGGTTTGGCCAAGCAGTTCAGTCTCCGCCGGTTGTCCCGTACGGAAGTCGCGGCGAAGCATCACTTCTCCGTCGCCTGACAGCGCCAGCGCGTGCACCTCGTCCGAAGCCTCGCCCGCAACACTGTACACCTGAACAATTTTCAAACTATTACATAATATAATCTTTTTTACTTTGATCAGGCCGTGTTAGCGTGTAGCTGACTCTTATCCACATAGTGCACTTGCTGATTTCGACCAGAATTTTTACTGCTAGTCGCTGGTCTCGGACCCCATACTCTGTTCTTGAATATTTGTGTTCTCTGCCGCTCGGCCACCCCGAGTTGATATGTTCACATTTGGATGGGCTTGATACGGTCGGAAGAAGGATTTATGTATTGTTGACAACCTAATTCGTCTGATTTTACAGATGCACCAGAAGTATCTGCAAATGTATGCGCAATTTGCAGAACAATATTATTTCATTTAGTGGACTAGGATAAAAATTTGAGTAATTAATCGTAGGTTGAAGTTTTCCAACAAATGAACGAAAAATCATTCACAAGTTGAACTTAAATTTTATAGTAATACATAAAAATAAAATTCATGTGAATCATGACCACTTACGAGTATATACGAACAACAGCTGGTAGTATTTTTATTACAAATTACCCATAAATTTACGTACAAATAAAAATTAATGAACACAAGAATAAGTTATATAAGAAAAATTTTATCAGAAACACTAGAATAATCTTCGTGAGATCCAGTAAAGAAAATAACCATTGAAATATTAATTACTTTTACGGGAACGACATCAGTAACTGAATGAAAATTTTCGAGAGAATATGAGAAAATTATTATCGTAAAATTCAGCAAATAAAATAACAGTTATAAATAAATCGTAAGTATGTGACAAAAATACGTTACCATGACGTCATCCACATGCACGTTCAGGCTGGAGTTCTTGGTCGCGACGTACACCTCGAACGCGGCCTTCCTCCGAGCTGTGGGCCGCGTTTTTATTTAAAACATTTACATTTTTATTTACTTTCATATATGTATAATTATTTGTTTCTGAAGCCTCCGCGCCGAAGGAAAGTCACTAAACTTTTTTTCTCTGTTTATTTAACTTAATCATGCTTAAAATAAGTGAAGTAAGGTAAATTTTTTTTTCAAAAGCCAGAAATTTTGTTCGTTTATTAAATTTTATTGTGAATTTTTTTTAGCATCGAATAAAACTGATTTTTAATTTAAAATAATGATGTGAAGCAACTATTAATTTAATATATAAATTTAAATCAATTGGCCAATATAAGTCGAAGACTACTTATGCTAATGAATTTTAGAATTTTAAAAGTAATAAGGAATCGGACATTTCAATCGGTGGTAGTAAGAGCTCGGAAAAAATATAAAGTTTCAATAATAATTTTTAAAGCCAAATCAGTTTAATCAGCAACTCGTTTGAATGCAGTATTTATGCTCTGAAAAATTGACTGCTGGACTTAAAATTTTGTTCTAAACAATCTCTTTACTGAACGACGAATTGGAAAAATATTTAATAAACGGAAATTCAAAGTAAAATATTGTAGTTATTAGGAAAGTATATATATGACCGCTGACCTGCGAGACGAGCTTCAGCGGCCACGTCTATCGGACGAAGGTAGCGATCCTCTGTAAAAAAAACATAAAAAATTATAACTCGCTACTCACTGCAGTGAGTGACAGAGAGCGCATTTTCTCATCGACGAAAACGTGAAGTCATGGACGGATAAACGGACAGACAGATGGACGGACGGACATGACGAGCATAATAGGGCATTTTTTCCATAAATGAGAAAATTCGCTAAAAGCAATATGTCTACTCGAGCTACGAATTTGTTGCTATTAAAGGACATTCCAATGAAAAATTAATAGTCGTTTTTATATTTTTGTCCATATGTCTAAATTGTCATTATTTTCTCCAAAGAGAGACGTAAATCGTCATTGCTTGTATATGCAGGGATTTTTTACTTATTCGCAGAAGAAAGCTCACAAACAAAATATTTTATACCAAACATAATCAATATATATTTGTATACCACTAATATTTATTTTTATACCACCAATGTATTTATACAATATATCATAGAAAATTATCTGAAGCGGTTACACCAAGCGCTTCGTTTAGCTGTTCATCAATGTTTTTGTATTAAGCGGTTTCTTCAAACATTTCGCTTCGCTATTTATCAAAGAATTTTATACAGAATTTTAGCATGAATTTGAGGGCTTATAACAAAATCAAAACAGCGATTTTGAAACCTTTGTATACTAAGATTTGCACTAATTTTATGCCCCCCCCCCTGAGTTATATTGTTAATTAAGTGTTTACGAGTACATGCTAATGCATATCATAGTTCCGAACAACGGTAGGTATTTAATTAATTGAATATTTAATTACATAATTGAATAATATATTAATTGGTGTTTAGTTTATATTTTTTTAAAATCTCACCCTGTAGTTTGCGCCAATGGTCAGGTAAGAGGCCCAAAATATGATCACTTCTGGAGCGTTTCTTTTTGTTTTTGCCTTGACTTGAAATATTCCTGTGTTTTTTCTTAGAGCGAAATTCTCTGTTGCGATAATGTTTTTCATCATCATTTGCGAAATTGATGATTTTGTCTGAGACCAAACCATTAGCATCATCTGCGGTGGTGTAATGGTTTGCACTCGCGGCGGTTTCATGGCGAATTTTTTCAATTACATTATTTTCTTTTCTTTTGGCCATATTATCGTGTCCTCTTGCATGTCTAGAGACGTCGATGATGTCTCTTTTATCATTTTTTATATTATTCGGTGATCCGATGTTAACATCTGGAGCGTTATTGTTTTGCCCTTTTGTCACAAAAGTGTTGGTGTCTTCGGCAGAAGAAAAAACGGAAGTTTGAGTTTGTGCAAGAATTTTTGCCGCTTTTGCCCACATGAACAGGGCGAGCAGAAACAGATTTTGGTTTGGCTTCATCTTGACTTGAATATGAGATCAAGCCTGACTGGATCTTTCTCGATCGATCAATTCTTGGATCAGTTCTAGACGACTAGATCAATCAATTCTTGGATCAGTTCTAGATGACTGGATCGATCAGCTCTAGCGTCAGCTCTGGACTACAGGATAGTACAATTCTAGTAATCCTCTGGAACTAAATTTACTGCTCGACATCGAAGACTTTCTTCTCTGTTGTATTTTTCTATAATTTTTACAGATTTTCTCCAAGTATGATCCATGGTTCAGGTTCAGAACAAAATATAACGCGGTTCTTTTTAACCAATATTTTTATGAATGTCTTCCACTGATTCACGCGCCTGTTTCAGTAACGAGAAGCGATTCTTCTTAAATAAAATTTTGAACACGATGAAAAAATTCGTTTTATGGTAAAATTTAACTCATTTTTCAAGTTCCAGCCTAAAAAATTATTTTAACAAGATATTTGTAATTAAATTAATTTAAGAAGGTGGGAAACGCTTTAAACTCATTACAATTAGACTTATTAATGAGAGCAAAAAAAGCTACAAAACTATAATAAACTGTGTTAGAATCATCACTATTATCTTAATAATGCTTTACATAACAATTGTGAACGCTTATCATGCATGAGATAACAAAAGAAATGAACTTTAATGATTGAAATCTGTCCCCGCTTCGCCTTAATATTTTAAATAAGTTTACATTTTTCTAAGAATGAACTTGGATATTATAAGAGTTGTATAATAATATCAATATTTAAAACGTAAGTTCGAGAGGCACAAAAGTTCGATACGTTCCACAACGCAAGACTCCATGCCACTACATCCCGGCAAAATTTTATTAAATCCATGGACTTTCCTGGTAAGTTTGAAGACGGATTTTCCTGGTGTGTGGTTGTGTTGGTTGTACGACCATTGTACAACGTACGGCCATCGTACAACTTACGACCATCGTACAACTTACGACCATCGTACAACTTACGACCATCGTACAACTTACGACCATCGTACAACTTACGACCATCGTACAACTTACGACCATCATACAACTTACGACTATCGTATAACTTACGACAATCGTACAACTTACGACAATCGTACAACTTACGATCATCGTACAACTTGCGACCATCGTACAACTTACGACCATCGTACAACTTGAAGGCAACGAATGTATCATATCAGTTGCAATCGAGACGCCAGTGTGGGAGGCTGTGCGTCGCTGCGCCGCGTCATACGTTGCGTGTTACGAAATTTTTTCTATTTTGTTATAACCTCGTGTAAAATTATTTATATCGAGGTATGAAGTCGGTCAAAGTCATTCAATAATTGCATAAATGCGTGTTCGCTGGTGAATAAATTAACAAGATGCTATAGTTCCTTGAGGAGAATAATGTTGAGCAGCAAAATATTGAACGATTTCTAACGAGGTTATAATACGGCATGACCTTGTCATCTCTCCGGCTCTCAACTACATGCAGTACATTTACCAGATGCATGACTTTTATTGAGACATTAGATGTGGTTTAGCTACTTCATTAACTTCACTTCACACATTCATTGCTTTCCACAGGTCATGCCGGCATAGCCTTCACTTTCCACCTTCGTTTCATGCCTTTATTGCCTTCACTCCATACCTTCTCTTAATTCCTTCATGAGTCTTCATTACTGAAGACTATCCCTCACAACTCGAATTTTCTCGATCCATCTTGAAATTTCTCTGAGAGACTTTTTTTTAATCACACACACGGTCAAATGCAGTAATTTCATTGCAGCAAAGGAAAAGCAAATATTATTGATTAATAATAGCCATAACATTAAATTAATTGAGCGTTTACCAGTGTAACGGAGGGCAGAAAATGCAGGATGAACGCTCTCAGGAATCATTTGTCGTAGCAATTCTTTTAGTTTTTAATGTCATGAATGCACAAATGGAATAATCAAGTCGAATATAAACACATCCATGCAGCGTTTAGAGTAATTTTTAAAAGGTATGAAAAATAATGAAGCAATCTAGAGGGGGGTAAACAAGACAGGCGTCGGGAGCAGTCAAATTGTTGTTCTCGACATGGTTGTAACTTATGTAGTCGGAGCAGTAAAATTGTTCTCGACGTAGGAAAAAAAAGTAAAACAATAATCGAGACAGAGAGGGGACGAGAAAAGGGGACGAGAAGTGAGGGGAGACAAGTCTGTAGCAAACATTTTATGTGAACAGCGAAAGACAAAATGTTAGAGAACAGTGGAAAAAAACTGTGAAGTAGAACATGAGACGAAAATTGTGGATAAGAACAGTACATCTGTAAGAACAAACTGTATGTGAATTCAGAGTTAAATTACACTATAAACGACAGTGTTGGCACCCTGGCTCTAACAGTGTTAAAGGCAGGGCGCAAGAACACTGTAGACGAACAGTATAAAAGAATAGTGTAAAGGAACAGTGTTAACGGACAGGGGACGAGAACAGTTGAGGACGCGTCAAAGGAACACAGGTACGAGAAAATCGAGCGCTGCGGCTGCGGTGGCCGGGTTTTTAAATCACGGCAGAGCTTTAGACGGCCGACCGTCAGACGTTGACTTGCCGGTCACAACGCGGCCAAGATTTTTAATAGGGGCTGCGACCGAGGATCGTGCTAGCGACAGTGACTGCTCGATTGCGGGCGCGGGTCGATATGAGGGAAGAGGGTGAGGGTAAAGTGAGGGAAGAGAGAGAAGGTAATATAAGGGAATAAGGGAAGAGGGTAAGGGTAATATGAGGAAAGAGAGTAAAGGTAATGTGAGGGAAGAGGGTGAAGATAACATGAGTAAAGAGAGTGAGGGTAAAGTGAGGGAAGAGAGAGAGGGTAATATAAGGAAAGAGGGTAAGGGTAATATGATGGAAGAGATTAAAGGTAATGTGATGGAAAAGGGTGACGGTAGCATGAGGGAAGAGAGTGAGAGGAGAATGAGGGAATGGAAAGAGGTAAAGCGATGGAAGATGTGAGGGTGAAGTGAGGGGAGAATAGAGGGACTGATTGTGAGGGAGTGAAGAATGAGAAACTATTGAGGAAAAATAGAAGGTATAAGATGCAAGAAAAAATTATATGTCAGATAAAGAGAGAGATGAGAGGGAAGAATATTAAAAGCATGTCAAATGTGCGTAAAAATTGAAATTTAAGGGTAAAACAGAAATTTAAGGGAAGCAGTGAAAGGTTCAGAAATTAGAGGGTTGTAAGGAAAGGGGCTATGTGAGGAAAGTAATAAATTTTAAGGAGAATCTAATAAAAGATATTAATCGAGAAGCAATCTATAGCCGATCAACTCGTCCAGCAGATCAATATATGTATTTAGCGCATCAAACTAACTCGAGTCAAAAGCCAGAAAATCCCAAATTATTCGCATTGCAAGTAAAGGCACTAACAATAACGTAAAAATATGAATTTTAAAAATATGCCTTATATGGACGAACAATAACGATAGAGAAAATGATCGAGTTAGAACTAAGCTCAAAAAGTAGGTATAATAACGGAATGACAAGTTTTAAAAATGTGCCCCTAAAGATTGGACAATATAACAGAAGAACAATTAATTTTAGAAATAGACATAAAAAGCACGAATACTAACAAAGGAAAGACGAGTCGTAGAAAATACGCTCCAAAAGCCCGAACTAGAAAAAAATTTAAAAGACCCAGGAATTTTGGCCGGCAGCTGCCATCTTGATTGCTTTAGCGAGAAATTGCATTTTTATTGGCAGCCGTCCCCGAAAATTTGGTGAATCGAAAAAAGAAAGTTAGAAAAAAATTTTTTATAAATTGCAAGGCTTATTTGAGATGCTGGATTATAAAACAATGGTACTGATTCGAGAAAAATCGTGCATAAAAGTGATTGGCAAGGTACCATTGAAACAATGATATTATAACTTGCTATAGAGTAAAAGTTTAGTTTTAAATCAAATATTACCCGAAGAAATTCATGATATAAATTAGTCAAATCTCGACAAAAAATTGAGGTAATTTTCATGACGTCCCGAAGTATCACACTGTAAATAATATCCCAATCATCCATAAATAATTCTTCTCTATAAACTTGTCGCTTAAATAAATTCCAATTCAACAGATTCCAAATACCTAAATGTACCCCTGAAACCTGAAATATTGCATCTACCATCCTCCTACTTGATTAAATTAATAATTCTCTAAATACCTAGCTTGATAAATGCCTTATTAACTGTACAATTATTTAGCAGATTTGTTTGTATAATAAAAAATATTAATATAAAATAAAAGCATGGCGCTCAGTCTGATCGACTTGCTCGGCGAGACTCTCCTGGTCGCGAGGAATTCGTTGGTCCGCAATGACGTAAAGTTCGACGCATTAACCAACAAAATACGAAGTCAGACGTCGTTAAAAGACGTTAATGATGATGATAGAGACGTTAATGGTGATGATGAAGACGTTAATGATGATGATAAAGATGTCAATGATGATGATAAAGACGTTAATGATGATGATAAAGACGTTAATGATGATGATAAAGATTTCAATGGTTATGACGTCTCAACTGACACGGAATATGATGAAAATGGACCGAAAGATAAACACAATGATGGTACGTTCGTTAAATTTTTTTATAATAATTTGTGAAATATATATGAGAAGAGAAGCAAATTGTTATAGCTGCATTAATTATTGATAGTTACATTGTAATTTATTTCGAGATATTAAATTCCAATGTTTGCATTCTCCACATCCAAAGGCCGCCCTGTCCCAGACATACAAAAATTAATTTCATGTACGAGTATATAATTATTGTATACGCTATCTTTATCTCATCATCATACTAATCATTGATCTTTTCAAATAACAATGAATTCGATTCACTTAAAAACCATGTATTTCCAGAAGTGTCTAAGTGCGTTAATAAGTTGAAACTATTTATTTATTTTTTATAAATAACATCATTTATATTAAAATTAATTACATTTCTTTCAGTGTCAACGTCTGTTAATATGTTGAAGCCGATGCTGAAACTAATTTTTTTTATGGCTACTATAATTAAATAATCGTTTATTTATTGAAACTATAATGGTTTATATTGTTCCCGTGACGTGAATGTTGGTTAACTTGTTAAAACTGTGACTTGAATAACTCCTGTAATTTGATTATTTATTAATATGTCAGCAATAATTAATTGTATTATTAATTAATTATTTTATGATTTATTAATTTAATTAATTAAGTATTCAAATTATTTATTACATTGTATTATTAATTAATTATTTACTAAATTTATTGCTTTTATTAATTAATAATTAATTTGTTCATTTAATTTATTAATTAACTAATTATATTATTTATTAATTAATTTAATCAATTGTATTATTATTCCACATAATTATTATGACGAAATAGACGGCGACGACTACAGCTTGGTGACGCGGGACGGTACCGTGCTGGACGTGGTGGACGTGCTGGACCTGATGCGACCAGGTCTTGTTATCGCGCTCTATTTCACTTCTTCTTCGTCACCTGATAACAAGTTAGTCTTATCTATTCGCTCTTAATTGATGCCATACTTTGTTATGCCTAATTGCCTAGATACTTAGTAATTCGTAAAGTGGTTGTAGGTGACCTGAAGCAACCGAGCCTTAATTGTCGTCACCCAACACAACTTTGTTAGTTGGTAACCTTTCTAAGGGGTAATTACCATGATAATTTTGTTAGTTGTTAACATTTCAAAGGGGTAATTACCATGACAATTTTGTTGTTAACCTTTCAAAGGGGTAATTACCATGATAATTTTGTTAGCTGTTAACCTTTCAAAAGGGTAATTACCAAGATATCTTTGTTAGTTGATAACCTTTCAAAGGGGTAATTAGGACGCGTCCCTTTTCTCGCGCTCCTGAAGTGATTAGAGTTCAAATTTTTAGCAATAAAAATGGGATTTTACGTTATGCTTTATGGAAAGATATAAAGCGACTGGCTTAGCCTATTATGTGTAATATTTTTCTTAGGGAGCTGATCAGCCTCCTGACAACGCTGACTCAGACAAAAGGATTTCGAGTGACATCATCGCCTGATCCCTCGACCATGACGTCATCATCTGATCGCTCGACAATGACGTCATCACTTGATCACTCAACGATGACGTCATCATCTGATCACTCGACCATGACGTCATCATCTGATCGCTCGACAATGACGTCATCATGCAGTCGAGTTTATGATTCAGTTCTCGTTGTGGTAGTGGCAAGTGACGAAGCTTGCTACCGTAACTGCCTTGCTACCACTGCGTTCTGCACAGTGCCTTACTACCATCACACCGTCAGAGTAAGTCTGCTACTGCCTAAACGTCTGCCATCACAGTATTTTGTAAGAAACGGCAACATGCCGAATTTGGCCTATTGAACGCCGACACCACAATTAGTTTGATATTAACTCCTATACCTACTATCACTAGGTAACGTCTGGAAATACTATTACTCTTACCTAGTACTAGTTACCTAGTAATAGTTACCTATTACTAGGTAACTATTACTAGCTAGGTAATGCCTCAACGCTCTATTACTTTTACTATTACTAGGTAACTGATAGATGTCACTATTACTATTACTAGGTAACGGCTAGATGCCACTATTACTATTACTAGGTTACTGCTAGATGTCACTATGACTATTACTAGGTAACGGCTAGATGCCACTATTACTATTACTAGGTAACTGCTAGATGCCACTATTACTATTACTAGGTAACTGCTAGATGACACTATTACTATTACTAGGTAACTGCTAGATGACACTATTACTATTACTAGGAAACTGCTAGATGCCACTATTACTATTACTAGGTAACTGCTAGATACCACTATAACTAGGTAACTGCTAGATACCACTATAACTAGGTAACTGCTAGATACCACTATAACTAGGTAACTGCTAGATGCCACTACCCATAGGGATAAACGCCCAAATATTTATACGTCCACGCGGCCCCAAGCCCCTCTTGTAAACATGCCTAACCAGGCAGCCTTGTAACATGACTGCCTCTAATGTACCGGGGCATGTACTGTGATACTGTTACACTGTCATACTGTTACTGTGTACATTGATGGATAACAGTATAACATAACATGACTGCCTCTAATGTACCGGGGCATGTACTGTGACACTGTTACACTGTCATACTGTTACTGTGCACATTTATGGATAACAGTATAACATAACATGACTGCCTCTAATGTGCTGGGGCATGTAATGTGATACTGTTACACTGTCATACTGTTACTGTGTACATTGATGGATAACAGTATAACATAACATGACTGCCTCTAATGTGCTGGGGCATGTAATGTGATACTGTTACACTGTCATACTGTTACTGTGCACATTGATGGATAACAGTATAACATAGCATGACTGCCTCTAATGTGCCGGAGCATGTACTGTGACACTGTCTACTGGCTCACTGATAGGTAACAGTATATGAGCAGCTACACGCTCATGTATTGGTTGATTGTTTGCTATAAAAAGAACATATTGTGACTATACTTATGACTATATAATATATGAAGTGTGACTATACTTGGGTACATATTCTCTTTAAAATAAGCTAATGCAATTCTTTAACATGTGAAAGACAATCGAAAGCAAGTAAGTACCTTAAACTCACGACGTACCATAACTTGTTGTACCAAAGTACTCTTAAATCTCTCTTCGCGTATCTGCAATTCACTCGGAACATATGATAAGTTTTCATTGCTTTTTTAGTTGGAATTCATTATTTTTACTAAAAATATATAATTCATCTATTAAAATACTCCACATGTACTTTAATATGAGTTTTTTTTATTAGGTCAAGAACCGCAATCGAGATTCGTATCTCCGGCCGTTACGCCGAACCTGTTGTCCCGGTAAACCTGATTTACCTGCCGAGGTCATAGCCTTAATTCTTTGTTTAAAAAGACCACTCACACACCGACTTTATTTATAGGCATAATTAGCCTCGTCTATTTATCTGTTATGACCCAATTACCGCAATCAATGGTCATTACATCGTTTTGATCCAGGCATTAACCTGGTAACGAGTTTCTTTATCTAGATTGTCTAGATGCGTTTTTTTTCCATCCGTGTTAAGAAATGTTTTTTGGTGAACTTAACTCAGGAATTTCTTATTATGCAGCGCTCGTTTCTTATCAGTGAAAAAATGTCAATTTCCTGCAGCTGACAGGTTTTGGTTGCGTTCTTGACTTGCGTTGTGCTGACTGGCATTGAGACGCTGTATTCCCGCTGTAAAGCTAAAAAAAATTGCGATAATTTATTAGCGAAGAAATAAATAGTCAAATAATAATGTTTTCTTGCTAAGCAAGTATACACATTTTAAATTTAACTTACATTTATTAGAAGAGATATTCCAGAGTTTTTAGTTTTCTACATTAGCAGTTAATGAAGTACTGAATTTCTTCCGAAGAAAGTGATTCTGGCGAACTGGGCACCAGCCGCCATGTTACTTTAGATGCTTCAAGTAAATTTCAAATTAAAGAATCAATACTGAAATTTTTCAGAGTATTGATATGACTTTTAACACTGAATAATTCTTTAAATAGTAGCTCCAATGAAATAATATTACGACACTGACTAAGTTACACTGCTGGACATTACACAGTGAATTAGCAACAGTTACATATAACGCATATAACATGCAGTGTCGCGCTGAATAATGTTTTTTAGCGTTTTTTAATATATATATATATAATGGTGAAATGAAAAATTTCTAATATTTTTATTAACTGCATATGCTGCAGCAGGTTCGTGTCAGACATGCTTCTGTCCGATAAGAACGTATCGACACGCCCCACAAACTGCTAATGACTTACGCACGCGTTCGTTATAGCGGCTGATCACGAATACGGCTGAAGACGTGGGTCGTATTTAAAGAATGTAAAGCCTAATCTAACGAACAACAAATTTCGTGCGATTTTATCAAATTCGTAGACGTGTTTTCGGTGAGGCCAAAATGTTTGAATTATCTCTTAAGCGAATATTTATTATCGCTATCGTAATAATGATTTTTCCTTGATAAGTAATTCATTGATTTTATTCATTTATGAAACTTTCATAAAACGTCGCACGTACAACCTATGTGTATTTTGGCGCCAAGCTGTAAACCCATGAAAGAACTTTTTAAAATATTTAATAAATCCGTTTTGTAATGTCTGCAACCTATATATAGGTATATATAATTTGGTGAAATAAATGCTGAAAATTCGTCCGTAGACTCAACAAAAACTTTAAAAATTTTGTTTCTCGAATATTATATATCACTCTTATATATAATGTTCCTCAAATATTATATATCACTCATATATTTACTGTTACTCAAATGTTATATATCACTCTTATATTTCATGTTACTCAAATATTATAGCTATATCACTCCTATATTTAGTGTACTCAAATGTAATATATCACATTTATATTTTATGTTACTCATATATTATAAATCACTCTTATATTAATATTATTCAAATATTATGTATCACTCTTACATAAAATATAATTCAAAATTACTTTAATTTTGGTCGGGACAGCGCGGTCTCGCGAGACGGTACCGCGTGTCGAGTCTCGCGTCCCTCGTGCTGCTCGACGCTCGCACGTGTCACGTGGTCTCAAGACCTTCCCTCGAGACCCTCGCCGACGACCCTCAGGGTCTAAAATTCCCCTGGAGACCCAGAGCTGTGAGAGAGCTGCTAGCTTCTGTAGACCTCATCAACGCTGATGGGTCTAAAGCGGTCTACGAGGACTTCAAAGCGGGCTTCAAGGCGCTGTATTTCTCAGCACAATGGGTATAAGACTGGATTTAATACGATTTTAGCTTTTGTTTAATAAATTTTCTATGAATCAAATATATAATTTAATACTATTTTAGCTTTTGTTTAATAAATTTTCTATGAATCATGTTAAATTCATAAATTTCCTATTAATTCATAAATTTCATATGAATCATCATATGAATTAATAAATCCGTTTTAATAAAGATCCGTTTAATAAAGATTCTCATAAGATTTTTTATTCATGAGAAATTTTTTTCCCCTTGTATTGGTTCCAATTAATTGTGTTAATTTACGACGATTATAAGTTTTCTTTATTTGATTTCTATGAATCTTTTGCGCAGTATATTCATAATTATTATATGGCTTGTAAGTTCATTGACATGAACAAATATGCTTAATATATCTTAATCTTCATTTACTATTGATGGAAGTTATTCGTTCTCAGGATTCAATATTGGCTCGACTTTGAGTATTTTTAATTTCCATATAAATTAATGAAATTTCTATAAGATCAAATATCAAATTTTTCAACGAATGTCGCATAATTATACGTTATTTCTTTGGCGTTTGTGGGAAGAGTTTTATAATTTTATCTGCTAATATTTTTTAAAAAATTCATCTTCATGTATTTTGGTGATTCTATAAGAAATCAATTAATTAATCAATTAATTCTAAAAAAGTTTTTTAGCATGACCTCAAAATACAGACTCAGTTGCCATTATCAAACCTTAGTCCGATTTTACTTCGCTGAGTAAATGCGAAGCGAAGACTCGAAATTTTCATTTTTTTAGTCCTGTTAGTATACAGACTTGTAAGGTGTAGTGGATAACAGCATACTTAGATAGATTTCAGATAAAATTTTGAACTATATAAAAAAATAACCTCGTTCCTAAAAATTTCATACGTTCGTCCCGATTTTGCTTCACTGCATAGTGGCCAAAGCAGAGAATTTCATAGACTATTCCTTTTTAAGTTAGATTAGTAGTCCAGCCCGGAGTCACACGTATTATCAGACACAGCTAGATAGACATTGAATACAAATTAGAGTTAGATCACTAAGAATTAATATTGAACTGGTTACAGGATTAGATAAAATTCTGAGCTAGATCTCTGGGAATTAAAAATAAACTGGTTTCTAAATTATTTGAAGTAAGATTCCGATTTTATTTCAGTGTCCCCCGTGCCGCGCGTTCACACCACAGCTCGTTGAGGCCTACACAAGCATCAAAGAAAACGGACATCGTTTCGAGGTTTTCTTCGTCAGTGCCGACCGGTAAGAAGTATTTTCAAATAATGACATATAAATTAGGTTTTTAAATAGAAGAGGATTAACGACATTCAGTAATGACAGAATTTACAATGCAATGCTGATATAAACATTTTTCTGCATGATAAAGGATTCGTTTCAATTTGCCTTCTATTTATGAGACGAATTTTATCACCATTTTCATGCCTAGTACTAAGAATATCACACTTGCCGTCTCCTGCATCTAAACGGCTGTATCATATTTTTTATTCGTAGCATGCAAATGATTTAGTTCTCTGCTAATCCCAATTTATTATTTAAAAAGGCATTGCTGCATATATCATTGTTAGCAAAAAAATTAATTTTTTCGGCCATTTTGGGATCTCGCACAAAATTATTTCTCATTAATCCTTCGGTAAAATTAAATATTCTTTTCTATTCTCCGTTCGATACCTAAACTCATAGATATGACTTATACATCATCCAAATAGCGATGCAATTTTGCTTTTGTCTGTGTCATCCTTACTCAGTTTTCCATGGCGAAAGGGCGTATCAGTGCTACGTCAGCTTTCTGCTCATGCCGAGAGTAATAAAGTGTGTCACTAATTTGACTATGCGAGCCACTGATTTTCTGAGTGATATGAACCGTTTTATCCTACCCTCCATTTCACTCCTCCGTCAGGAGCGCGGAGTCATACCAGCAGCAGCAGACCGCCATGCCGTGGCCCTCCGTCGCGTGGGCCTGCCGACAGCAGCGGCAGGAGCTGGCGGCTGCGCTGCAGGTGCGTCCTGCCTATCAAAATTTCGAGTTGGTGGCGACCCTGAATTAGGAACCGCCTAGGATTCGGACTGAAAGTAAATCAGCTTCTCTATATGTCAGCTTTTTGGTCTACATTCCGGTCCCCGAATCAGACAGCTACCAGAGCCTGGTCCTTATTCTGCCAACTCTTGCCCTACTCTCAAGAGACTATAAAGTTGGTAAGGAAGTTCTGACTCGTCGCTGATTACGATCAGTTGGCCAACCTGACCCAGAATAACTCTAACGCGAACATAGCAACTCTGGGGCGAAGGCTGAAGCACACCGAATTTTGTTAGGGCAGTTCTTCGTACCTTCCCTAACAAAAATCGGGTACGCCTATAGCTTCTGCTTCATATTCGATACGCTCGGACTGAAGTTTTTTTAGTCTGCTTGGCCACACGATCGAAATCTGCCTCTGGTCAGGATCTCCTTTCCGACTACATAGTCGCCTAAGAGGATGAAAAGTGGGTCCTGAGAGAAAGACAAGTGTGAACAGATTTGAACGAAACTGTGTATATAAACACCTAACCTCAGCAACGGTGAAGTTTAGCTCGTGATAATTTTTTTTCTATCTTGCCTTCATTCGCGAGTAATACGGGTTACGGAGAAACGACTGGCATTTAGACCGGCCGGTTTAACCAAGAGCCGTATACGAATAACCGTATCACTCGCAAAACAAGGCAAAATCGGAAAAAAATTGTCGTGAGTTAAAGAGCACCGTTGCTGAGGTTAGGTATTACTAAGTTTCTTTTAAATCTCTTCTGTAGTTTAACAGAAATTTCTTTATCACTGCGGATTTAAGCACTTATTGCTTTTTATATCACGAATAAAGGCGAAATGAAAAAAAATCACAAAAAGGCAAAATTGAAATATTTTACACGAGCTAGCCGCCCCTACAACTACAACACTCACAGTAATGTGTATGATATTGTCCATATAGCGATGCATTTTAAACATCACCGTTCGGTAGTTCGGAATGTACATATAATCAAAATTTTGTTCCAATCTGTGCAGTAGTTTGAAAGAAATTCCTTGATCACTGTGAATTTCGGCCCGTAACGCCTTATAACACTCAGGAGTGAAGGCGAAATTCAAAAAAATTTTACGAGCTAAACATCACCGTTAGGTCCTAATGAATGCGTGTAACAAGTTTCATCGAATTAAGTTAATTAGTTTGGGAGATATCTCATGATCATTGAATTTCTTTAATTGGCCATGAGGCCGGACGCGAGTCCGGCCGTAAATTTGTCCGAGACGTAAACCCAGGAGAGGTTAAAAACAGAACTGGGTGAAAAAAACCCTTCGCTGGGAGTCATGTGCCGCACGTGTTGTTCACGTGTTGTGAACAAATCGTCAAACAAACGTTGGAACTTCTGACTTCGACTTCGGACTGCCCTCCCCTACCGCCCCTTACTTCCTCACCGTCCCCCACCCCCCAGATTTTTCCACCGCCCCCAGGGGGGCAGTAGCGCCCACTTTGGACACCACTGATGTAGGCCTGATATTTTTCAGGCCATTTCAATTGCTGGACGAAACTCAATGTTGTTTGGGAACAGGGGAGTTATTTTGATCCGAAAGCGTTTTGTCATTGGTTTTTGAGTATTCAGTTTGTGAATCTTTTTTTTTTCATTCGAGTACTTTGGGGAAGTTAGGTTTGAAAGTTATTTACTGGATAATTTACAACCTCAATTTTGCATAGAATTTGTTAAACTTTCCTTGTATTCGATATTCATTGGAAAAGCCTTATATTTTTCGACTATCGGTCTATTCTAGTGTCGTAATTTGTACTTCCTTTTGCAGGTGGGCGGCATCCCCAGTTTGGTGCTCCTGGGGCCCGATGATACCGTGTTGACCCACAACGGCCGGGCCCACGTGGTTCGATACCTTCAGTATCCCGTAAGTAATGCGTTCAAATTTAAAACAAAAAATTAGAGGCCCACAGGGCCCGCTACCTCCGGTATTTAGTTAGTTAGAGATGAATGAGAGGCCCACCGGGCCCGCTACCTCCGGTGTTTAGTTAGTTAAAGATTAATGAGAGGCCCACCGGGCCCGCTACCTCCGGTATTTAGTAGTTAAATATGAATGAGAGGCCCACCGGGCCCGCTACCTCCGGTATTTAGTTAGTTAAAGATGAATGAGAGGCCCACGGGACCCGCTACCTCCAGTGTTCCGTGAGTAATAGAAGAATGAGAGGCCCACAGGGCCCACTACTTTTAGTGTTCCGTGAGTAATAGAAGAATTAAAGGCCCCGGGATCACCACTTTCAGTGCCCAGTAAGTCATGGAAAATAAAGGCCCATATAGTTTATTAAAGTGCGCCTTTTACTATACTGATAATTACATTCTAATGTTATTCCTTCCATTGCAGGAGTTCCCGTGGACCGATGAATCCGTAGAATTTTTAGAAGACCGCCACATGGCGACGCTGCTCGACAGACCAAGTTGTATCATTTTTACAGGTAATGCTTTCATGTATATTTTGAATACACTCCGTGACTATGATAAAAATATACTTATGGCATTTTTTTCATTATTTAAGTTGAAATTTCTAGCGGTAGCATTTTTACATTTTCGCCTTTATCGCCAACCATCTTCTTGTGGTTTTGTCATTTTAAACCATGTTTGAAAAAATGTTTCTTATTGCATCGGACTGAAAAAATAATTATCTGAAATCAATGTAGTTATAAAATACCTTATTTATAAGAGTTAAAATTTATTACTTATTAGGTATTTATAAGGTAAGGTTCGGTCAAGGTATTTATGAAATATCGTGATCGAAACCCTCCTGTATTTGGCCGGCTGAATACAAATATAGAGGCAAAATCTCCCAACAATAAATGGAACTAAAAATTGTTCGTCATTTCTCACATATATATTGTTAAATAAATCGTAATTCACAGAAATAATGTAATGATATTCACATAAGTCATGCCAAATTAGCTACAGAAAATAGGAATGCTGGTATAGGATGGCAGAATTCGTTATTCTAAACAGGTTTGATTGAAAACCTTATTATTAGTTTCAAACTTATAAATATGAATAAAACTAATTCTTTGGTCTTTGATCATATCTGTTTAAATAACATAGGATGAGCTGGGCCCATACTTTTAAAAAAAGTTAAGAGATTGCAAGTTCATCAGCCAGTCATTGACGGCCTTTCAAGCAAAATCCACCAATCATAGACAAGAAAATAGTGCGTAAGTACTTACGTTCTCTGAGCGAGTTTTAAAAGTAGGGGCCCCAGGATAGAATTCTCTTTATACAGGAGATAGTAGGGTAACATGGGGCAGCGAGCCCACTGCGGGTCACGGGCCCATAGCGGGTTTCTCGCTAAGTATGGCAGATATTGGTCCGTGTTCTCTACCGCCGGTCAACAGTTTCACTGTGATGAAGTGTACGGATTTACGTTTTGCTAAATGTTTTTAAACAAAACAAAGAACCACCTCGTATCAATTAAAACTTCATCAAAAATTTAGTTTAAAAAAAGTGGGGGGGGGGGGCGCTGCCCCACGTTGCCCTATTAAGATAGGATTAATGTTGATTTGGTGGCGCCCACAGATACGGAGGATAGGAACGTGCTGGAACAGTACCGGGATCTGCTACTGCCGGTGGCGGAGGAATACTTGGTGCTGAGGGCACCGCCTTCGGCGCCTCCTGACGGCGCCACACTGGCCTTCTTCGTTGCTCCTCGGGTACTAGATTTATTTAAAACCTTATGACCTTGTATTATTATTATTATTATTATTACTATTATTATTATTATTATTATTATTAATATTATTATTATTATTAAGTAATGATCTACTTTTAAAAGTTGTGATCATTTTTGGTTTACTTAAGAATATAACGAGTTACGAGTATTTTAAATTATTATGATCACTTTAGCTCTTTGGAAACTTAAAAAATCACGTTCAAAAAACCCAAATTGATCAAATGACCTGAGGTCATGATTGTAATTAGTAAATTGGCTCCATACAATGGTTTCGGTGTTTTCAAGTCTTGCTTAAATAGAACATCGTTAAATGAAACGGACGAGAAATCGTTTTTCATTAGTTCGGACACACAAAAAAAATTAAATTAAAAACATCGTGTGCTAACATTTAATTTGCACTGCAGAATATAAAGTAATTGAAATGAATTTCTACAGTCCAGCCTAAGCGACTACGTGTGCTGCATGTGTGGGGTAGACGCTGTATCAGTCTGTATCTTGGACGTGGCAAACAACAGCAGACACTGTCTGCAGCCTGACGAACCTCTTTCTACCGCCGCCCTCCACGTCTTTGCCAGCAGGTCTGTAGGCCTCTTGATGTCTCCGTCAGCATGTCTGTTGGTCTCTTGATGTCTTCATCAGCAGGTCTGTTGGTCTCTTGTTATCTTCGTCAGCAGGTCTGTTGGTCTCTTGATGTCTTCGTCAGCAGGCCTGTTGGTCTCTTGTTATCTTCGTCAGCAGCCAGCAGGTCTGTTGGTCTCTTGTTATATTCGTCAGCAGCCAGCAGGTCTGTTGGTCTCTTGATGTCTTCATCAGCAGGTCTGTTGGTTTCTTGAGATCTTCGGTAGCAGGTCTGTTGTTGCCTCTAGGTTAATGCAGACTGCAGACAAGTTAGTAAGTTACCGGAGATCTTCATTAGAAGTTGCGTAAACTAAGAACTTCGTTAGTTGGAGACGGGACCTATTTTTGGTCCTAATGAAGTGTTATTTATTGGGATTGTCTAATTTGTTAATAAATTTCAGATTGAATGAGGTGTTCACCGTGTTTCCGTTCTATAAACCACAGCACTAGGTTATTAATGACAATGGTAATAATAATAATAATAATAATAATAATAATAATAATAATAATAATAATAATAAAATATAATATTGTCAGCTTTATCATGCCTTTATAATGACCTGTTGCCGGTTCTCAGCCAATTGGCTACCCACCCTACTTCGACCAGAATTTTCACACTTATTTAAGGGTTTCGAACCTCTCACTCGCTGTTCCGGTCTTGGTTGTCTAAACGACTTGAGACCCGTGGGTGACCAAAGGTTTTGTTAACACTGCGATTCTAAAACGATTTTTTTATTTTTCATGTGAACACGTTGTTTGCCAGATATATTGCTAACCTCTCCGGATTTAATCTAACTAATTTGATTCGTTACGATTCATCAACATGTGTTTTAATCAACATAATTAGATACTACCGACTAGGATGATTTATTTTTTTTTTCAACAGGTATAACCGACAAGAACTGGAAGCCGAAGTTCTGGGCGACGCCGGCTACACTCAAATAGATTTTAGACCATACGAACAACAAACGCTGTACTTTACAGACCAGACACATATAAATGTTGGCGAAGAGGACCCATAGATTTTTACAAAATTTTATTGGTCACATACTTTATATTATTAGCTCAAAGCCTCATCAGACTGATCCCTTTTGCGGGATGAACTTTACCACTCTATTTTGTTAAAAAATCTAACTCAGTACTCACTGCAGTGAGTGACAGAGAGCGCATTTTCTCGTCGACGAAAACTTGAGGTCACCGACAGACGGACGGACAGACGGACAGACAGACAGACAGACAGACAGACAGACAGACAGACAGACAGACAGACAGACGGACGGACGGACATGGCGAGTACAATAGCGCATTTTTTTCATAAATGAGAAAATGCACTAAAAATCACGGTTGAATCACTTCAGCTCATGGTAATTATATATACTCGTACAAATGCACATGATGAATTTCTTTAGACGGCCATTATATTTCGACGAGTCATGATTGGTAATTTCAAAATCCCGTTATTGATGAGAAATTTGCAAGTGGGATAAAGTAGTAGAGTCATTTTTCGTTAAAGGCGGGGGGAAAATTTAGCGTGGGAGAAAACTCTATAAATTATTTATCTTAACCACTGCTATTAATTTTGATGAAAATGATCGCTTATTGATGGTTAAATTATATAATACCATTGCATTTTATTTATTCTAACATACAATTATTTCTTTATACTATTCAGTTGAACTCGGGAGTCTCAATATGTGAACACCTTAATGTACTATATAAAATCAAAATATTTTTGGTGTTATGTAGCTTCAGTTAAGTTAGTAGCATTATTAATGATTTTATTAAACATATTATAGTTTCATTGTCCTTGAAATTTAATTCAGAGGGTCCTTGCTGGTTTTGGTATCTATTTGTGCTACTATAATATTATTTATGAAATAATATGAATATCGAATATGAACCTAATTTGGCATAGTAACAATGAAATCTGCTTGGTAAATCACGAGAATCTGTATTTATTTGTTATGAGACAGTCAAGCTCAAAATATTTTGATGTCATTTGATCCGATCTCTGGCTTCAAACTTTCTGCAGTTGCATAAAATTTGACATGTTACAAGCGCTCCGGATCGGCATGACATGGACTGTTCTGTCTGCTGAAAATGCGTTTCTTTTGGAATAACAACGCAATCTCTCGATTAAAACTCAAATCTGTTAGGCAAATACAGTTTTTCAATTATAAGTAGAATCATTTATTGTGTGGCAACATGCATCGTTCAAGAATTTATTCGTCCGGAGTATTAACAAATGCTTTTAACTGGGCATCCAAAGAATGGCTTGTAAAATCATCAACAGTCTGGATGCAACACAAAAGATGTCAAGCTCGAACAACATCTAGTGATCATTATGCTGATAAAAATTATATTCCTGACATGCCTTCATCTCTACCATCTCAAGCTCAGGTATTGTTCCTCAATCTTCTCATGCAAACAAGTGCATACTATATATACCCTCATCACAGATAACATTCGTAAATCGTTTGGGCCTATGTCTTCAACGCCGACACTTCTATTCTATTCTATTCTATTCTATACAAGAATATTGCAAAACTTAGAATTTGACTGAAATCCTAAGTGAAAAATGTGGCAGAAGCCATCCATGAGAATTGGAGAAAAATTACAATAAATCTGTCTCATTAAACCCATTCCTGTGGCTTATTTATAACTGCAATTTCTGAAAATCATTTGTGAAATGATTATTTTTACCTGCAATTTTTGGAAAGTTCTGCACTTCTGCTCAATATTCCATATTGGTATTGGACTGAAATATTGATTCAGAAATCTATTCTGGAAAATTAGGTAAAAGACACTCACAAATTAGACAAAAGGGCCTATGTTTGCTGTATTGTTTCCCTTTTTATAGCCTTTGGCTTTGCTTAATTTCTTTTGTATTAACTAATATGTGTGAAAAACAGTATATTTTCTCCTAAAAATTATAAAAATTCTCTATAAAACAATAGTTTTTCAACCTGTTTATTGGATTATCTTGCCTGTTGCCAAATAGTGCAGGTTGGTCATAAGTAATATTTTGCATTGATTAAAAATATTCTGCCTTAATTGTCTAGTTTCATTATTAATCAAATAATATATAATTTATTTAGTATAAATTTTGCTATTAAGCCCTTTTTGAAACTTTGAAACTATATAAATATTTTTCATACTGCACCCACTTTAATATATATGTGACTACATCTACTTTCAATAATTAGTCTTTAATTGTTAGCTAACCAGAGACAGACTGTTGTATGGAACTGTTTTTCAGAACCTAATGAAAAAATTGGCTTTACATATACATACCTATATTTCTATTTTTATTTCCTTGGGGATTGAATATATGTACTAGAGCTTTCCTGCCATTTATGAAATTACAAGATTCCTGCTGGATAAATTACCTCCTATCTAATTTTTAAGACAAGTATATAATCAAGCTGCAAGATTCTTAATGTAGTGAAACTTTGTCATTTTGAAGCTTCAAAAATTTTAGTAATAAGTACCAGTAGCAAAATTCCAATCTTATATTTTCTATGTCTAATATATTCTGTTATATTTTTCTTTATATTTACTATGTTTATAATTATTTGCATGAGTAGCACAGCACAATATTGATATGAGCTCAAAGCTCGTTAGCATCCAATTTCATTTTTCTTCAGGTTGTAGTATGTGGTGCTGGTATTCTGGGCAACAGTATTGCCTACCACCTCACCAGAGAAGGCTGGAGGGATATTCTTGTGCTTGAAAAAAACTTGTAAGTTTCATCAAATGTGAAGCAGCATAATTCAAGAAACTATTTATAGGCTTATATTTAGGTTTGAATAGTAATTACTTCTCAGTTCAGTTTAATATTCTCAAAGAAGATTGAAATAATGTCACAAAAATGTTTTGTAACTGATTTTTTTGCAATTTATTGTTACTTGAGCCATACTCATAGTAAACAAGGATCTTATTGCAATAAAAGTAGAATAGTAGTGAAAAGAATTATATAGTACATAGGTACTCATAATAATGGCCATTCTACATGATCTTATTGTAATTTGTATTTTTTTTTTTTTTTTTGGGTTGAAGACTTATGGTGAGAAAGACACCCACCAGCCTAATCTCTGCCAGAAAGTAAATAGGTAGGTACCTATTATGGTTACTAATATATTATCTGATTGTTTTTATTATCCATTCTGATCAGAATTGGCAGTGGCACTTCTCAGGAGGGCTCAGGAATGCTTGGACTGTTCAAAGACACCATGCAGCGCCGTGTCATCACACACTCCATTGACCTTATCAAGCAGCTACAGCAAGATGGTCATGATGTTGGTAAGTGGAGCCCTAAATTCTGATGTGTTAGCGTTTATTTATCTCATTTTCATTTGCTGTTATGAAACTGAAATCATAATATGTTCATTTGTCCAGGCTTTGTTCAATGTGGCAGCTTGAACTTGGCCCGCACCAGAGACCGAGCGCTGGCCCTGAAGCGTAGACTGGCTGCTATCAAGCCATACAACATCCCTGTTGAGGTGAGCCATCTATCCTAACATGTCTTGATTAACCCTTTCCTTATGGACAAATTAATTGTTGCAACTGTTCCTCATAGATATCTAATTTAAGACTCATATCTAGTTGACCTTGAAAAACTATTAATCATTGAACTAGGGCAAGGATTTAATTAAGTTCAAGTTTGGGGCTCGAAAGTTTTTTTTACACTTTTTAGAGTCAACTTAATCATTTCATTGACAATTACAATCCATGCTTGGATTTCAGAAAGATCTGTTCTCTTTATTATCTATCAACTCTGCTATGAACTTTTTGTTATAATTTCCTTGCTACCGGTATTGGTTTTACTACCTATGATTACTTATTTCTAATAAACTTCTAAATTCGAGTACAATTAGTTAATGTTCAATAAAATATCTTTGCTCTGAGATGATTGGCCCTAATGCCCCCTGTGCTGCAGTGGATGGACCGTCACGACATCAAGGTCCGCCACCCCCTCCTGGAGACGGGGGACCTGGAGGGGGCGGTGTGGTGTGGGGGGGACGCAGTCGTCAACCCCCACGCAGTGTGTCTCGCCCTCGCCGCCGTCGCCAAGCAGCAGGGTACGCATACTGCGGCATACCTCAACACTCAGCTTATTTCAGCATGCTCAATACTTATCATACCTACTGCACCCTCAGCATACTCTATATACCCTCATCACAGATAACATTCGTAAATCGTTTGAGTCCAACTTCATTAATGTCTTTACTTGAAATAATATTTACAAATATTGTCAGGGAACAAATATTATTTTAATATTAATTAGCTATCATGAAATGCTGACATAAAGCAGTATTATAATAATGATGAACTTTTTGTTAAATACTGCGTAATCTCAAAGCCAATTTTGACCGTTCCATTATTACATAGCATTCCAATTAGTGATAAACTTTTCGTTGGATGTACATTCGACACCATCGTAAAGCCTATTTCTACCTCTCCAATTATTACATAGCCTTCCAATTAGTGATAAACCTGCGTCATCGTGACGTCAATTTCTATCGTTCCAATTATTATCAAGTATTACAATTAGTCATCAACTTTCCATTGAACACAATGTCATCGTAACGTCATTTATCGTAACGTCACGTAGGCTGACCATCTTTTCGTTGAATTTAATAACGTCATCATGACGTCAATTTCTATCGTTCCAATTATTACCAAGTATTACAATTAGTCATCAACTTTCCATTAAACACAATGTCACCGTAACGTCAGTTATCGGAACGTCACATAGGCTGATCATCTTTTCGTTGCATTTAATAACGCCATCATGACGTCCATTTCTACCGTTGGCAGGCGCGACGTTCGTGGAGGGTGTGACGGTCACGCAGGTGCTGTCGGAGGCCACCGCGTCGTGCGTCACGCCGCGCGTACGTCAGGTCAACACGTCGCACGGCAACGTCATCTGTGAATACTTCGTTAACGCTGCCGGCATGGTACGTTACGGGGGTGCGTTGCATGGTACGTTAAAGGGGGTGCGTTACATGGTACGTTACAGGGGTGCGTTACATGATACGTTACGGGGGTTTGTTACATTGTACGTTACGGGATGGAGTGTGTACGTGGCTCATGCGTACTTAGCCGTAGTCTTGGCAAGCCTAAAGTTCTTGGTCATAGTCTTGGCAATCCTGAAGTTCTTGGCCGTAGTCTTGGCAAGCCTGAAGTTCTTGGCCGTAGTCTTGGCAAGCCTGAAGTTCTTGGCCGTAGTCTTGGCAAGCCTGAAGTTCTTGGCCGTAGTCTTGGCAAGCCTGAAGTTCTTGGCCGTAGTCTTGGCAAGCCTGAAATTTTTGGCCGTAGTCTTGGCATGCCCGAAGTTCTTGGCCGTAGTCAAATGCCTGAAGTTCTTAGCCGTAGTCTTGACAAGCCTGAAGTTCTTGGCCGTAGTCTTAGCAAGCCTGAAGTTCTTGGCCGTAGTCTTGGCAAGCCCGAAGTTCTTGGCCGTAATCTTGGCAAGCTCGAAGTTCTTGACCGTAGTCAAATGCCTGAAGTTCTTAGCCGTAGTCTTGGCAGGCCTGAAGTTCTTGGCCGTAGTCTTGTGCCTGAAGTTCAGGGCCTGGGTCGTAGTCTTAAGGTGCTTCTTACTCATATATCCTGATCGCGGTCTTCGCGTGCTTGTACTTAGTACCTACATTGGGTTTCTGTTAAGACCACGATTTTTCTGTCGTGCTCTTATTTTTCATCGTGTCTTTTGATAAGAAATAGACTCATGATTATTGTTTTTGTTTTTTATAGGTGCATTAAAAGACATTGTTAAAACTGGCTATCCACGCATTATTGCCTATTGGCATTATTATCTTGCTAAGTTTACTCGACTGAATCACACTTACTTATTTAAGTCCAAACTTTTCTGTCTCATTTGTTTCTTAAAAGACATATCCCGGCACAGTCAACTGCTCAACCTCTCATTTTACTCACGGTGATTACACTCAAAATTTTAACCGCCTTGAAATTGATCCTTTCAGTGGGCGCGCGAAGTCGGAGAAAAAACTGTGCCTCGCGTCCGTGTTCCAGCTTTTCCGGCTGAACATTTCTACTTACACACTCGGTGAGCCTGTAACTGGCGTGTTGGATAGTTTAAGAAGTTAATTAGGGTAAAGTTAATCAATTAAACGGTCAAACTAAACGTTTTTATGAATGTTTCTATATATTTATTAATTTATTTGTACTTTGGTAATTTTAAATCACTATTAAATCAGATCTATTTATTATTCTTCTACGTACATCAAAAAATTCTTCTCGAAAATTTCCGTCTCTTTCATTTAATCCTGTTTCACTCTTATATTTCCCTCTCATAATAAATCATCACTACGCGTAAGTGAAATATTGCTGCACGATATGCCTCAGTCTGCATGCCAACACTAATACTCATACACTTGTTTCCGATGTAATATTTCCCTGGGATGCCATAATTTATTTCCCTACACTCAATCTATTGCTCACACCACCACATCCACTGCGGGAGTTGGACGCACCAAACTCTGGTGTTGTCGAATAAAGCAGAGCTGATTGATCTGGTTTTAGTTAGTTAACTTCATTTATCCAACGCTGGTTAAGTTACTTAAGTTAGACTCATCAGGTTACAACCTGAAGAACCACCTCCTGCTTCTAAGGGTACCCACACAGTGAAAGCAGGTTGCCAGCGTGCTGGTTACCTGCTGACGCTGGCGCCTGAAATTGAAATAAATAGGCCTGGCGCTGGCCTACCCGGTATTCGTACAGGTTTTCACTGTGAACACTTACATTATTATCTTATGTTCATTCATGTGGCAGGTTGGAGCAGGTTGCCCGCGCGGGCAAACCTGCTTTCACTGTGTGGGTATTCTAACACTGGTTCACTGCAGGCCCATGTCCGAAGCCACGTCCCTGCCGCTGGTGCGGGACTACGACGCTCACACGTTCGTAGTGTCCCGAGGCGGGCGATTTATTATCGGGGGGTTCGAACCTCACGCCAAGCCTGCATTCGGGCGCGGCATCCCTCCTGACTGGCAGCAGCTACTGCTTGCTGACCAGGAGCACTTCAGTGAGTTTAGCGGGCTCAATGGGGTTCAGCGGGGCTCAGTTGTTCCACTTCCTGACTCGGGCACTCGGATCGTGTCGAGAACTCGGGTGTAGGTTGGCAAGGAATTTGTTTAGCTGAACTCGAGTGGTTCGAATCAGCAAGATTCTTGTCATTTATAACTATGTATGGTTTAGTTCTGCAGCTCTGATATTTGATTATGTTCTGTGTATATGCTATATTCGCATCCGGTTCTGATTTATATCGCGGTTCTCGGACTAGTGTGTGAACCAGATATGGAGCACAGTTGAGGACCGTTGATTATATATATATTAGGTCAGCCACTCGATGAAGTCTTCCAACAGTTTGCTGCTATTTTTCTCTTATACAACTCACGCTTAAATTAGTCTCGATTGCAACTATTATTCATGTATTTATTTCAATTTTCAAAACTACTAGTGAATTTTTCAAGTAATGCATAGCCTAGAACTTTATGCTATGCCAGCTGCTATCTGTTCAAAGTTCCTTTCTATGTCTACAAATGGCGGAAATTTATGAGCTGCTAACAAAGTTTTTAAACGATTAACACTAAGCTTGCCATTGAATACTCAGACTTCTAACTTAAAAAAAATATTTGGGCAGTCAATTTCCCATACACAACCTATCCGAGAGTAATCACAGAAAATTTATTAACTAATAACTAATATTGATTAAAAAACCTCTTATACTATAAATTTTGTACGCAGAACCTATCCGGGAGGCTGCGGAGCACAGGCTGCCTCTGCTGCAGGGAACCGAGTACGAGAAACTCATCAACGCCCCCGACACATTCACCCCAGACGGCCTGTGGATAATGGGGGAGACTTCGGAGGTATTTTATCTTGGGCACCTCGCTGTGGCATGCGCCACTGTAGCCCAGTGGTTAGCTCCTCCATGCGTAGTGGTAGCGGCACCATGCGTAGTGGTAGCGGCACCATGCGTAGTGGTAGCGGCACCATGCGTAGTGGTAGCGGCACCATGCGTAGTGGTAGCGGCAGTAAGATAAGAGGATCTAGCCTTGGTAGGTTCAGTGCATTCCTCGGTGTCCCTGGTAGGCGGTGATCAGTTGCCGTCAAAGTTAGTGCTTGCAGCACTTTGCGTTGGTGCCCCTAAAAACAAACTCGAGGTACGTGTTACTTTTAGGATTTTAAGGTTTTGAGGTAGATTGGTCCTTTCGTGAACTAGAGTAACCAAATGACTAGAGTACCATAACTAGAGTTTCTAGAACTACAAGAGTTACTAGAGTTTCGTGAACTAGAGTAACCAAATGAATGACAAATTCTATCCTCATAATAGGGTGTGAAATGAAACCAACTCTTCCACGGTGGAGGTTTGCATCTAGAACTCACGTATGGTGTACTGCAGGTCGGGTTTTCCTGAGCTGTGAAATTAGTTAGTACAAGCAACTATGCTAACAGGTAGTCAAATTAGAGATAAAGTTCCCTCGCACAGGTTGCCAACTAGTGATTATATTCACTTGCACTGGTTGCCAACGAATGATACGATCCCCTGGCAATGGTTGCCAACTAGTGGTTAGATTCGCTGACACAGATTGCACAATTTTGATTAGATTCACTGGCACAGGTTCCACAATAGTGATTAGATTCACTGGCACAGGTTGCCAACTAATGATTTTATTCACTTGCACAGGTTGCCAACTAGTGATTAGATTCCCTGGCACAGGTTCCAACTAGTCATTAGATTCACGGGCACAGGTTCCAACTAGTCATTAGATTCACTGGCACAGGTTGCCAACTATAGATAAGATTTTCCGAATAAATGCCAAGCAGTAAATAATATCTCATGCGCTGATTACCAAGTAGTGGCAGGTTGCCAAGTAGTATTTATTTTCACGGCCGGCCCTGGTTGCCGGTAGTAATTATTTCCCCGGGCGAAGGTTGCCAAGTGTATTTATTTTCCCCGACGCAGGTTGCCTGGTAGTTATTATATCCCCCGACGCAGGTTGCCTGGTAGTTATTTATTTTCCCCGGCGCCGGTTGCCAGGTAGTTATTATTTCCTCCGACGCAGGTTGACAACTATTTCGTGTGCTGCGGGATGAACGGAAACAGCGTGCAGGGCGGGGGCATAGGGCGGGCGGTAGCCGAATGGCTGGTGAACGGCAGCGGCGGCGCATCGGCGGCCATGGAAGTTATGAACGCCTTTGACGTGAAGCGCTTCGTGGACCTGCACAACAACCGCCGCTACCTGGAGGAGCGCACGCGTGAGGTGGTCGGCAGGTTAGTGCAGTGGTAGGCAGGTTAGTGCAGTGGTCGGCAGGTTAGTGCAGTGGTGGGCAGGTTAGTGCTGTGGTGGGCAGGTTAGTGCTGTGGTGGGCAGGTTAGTGCAGTGGTGGGCAGGTTAGTGCTGTGGTGGGCAGGTTAGTGCTGTGGTGGGCAGGTTAGTGCTGTGGTAG